TATTTGAACAGTGAGAGACTGAATAACAACAAAAAAATCCAGAAAAACGCATGTAAAAAATGTTATAAATTGATTTGCATTTTAATGAGGGAAATAAGTATTTGACCCCTCTGCAAAACAAGACTTAGTATTTGGTGGAAAAACCCTTGTTGGCAATCACAGAGGTCAGACGTTTCTTGTAGTTGGCCACCAGGTTTGCACACATCTCAGGAGGGATTTTGTCCCACTCCTCTTTGCAGATCTTCTCCAAGTCAATAAGGTTTCGAGGCTGACGTTTGGCAATTCGAACCTTCAGCTCCCTCCACAGATTGTCTATGGGATTAAGGTCTGGAGACTGGCTAGGCCACTCTAGGACCTTAATGTGCTTCTTCTTGAGCCACTCCTTTGTTGCCTTGGCCGTGTGTTTTGGGTCATTGTCATGCTTGAATACCCACCCACGACCCATTTTCAATACCCTGGCTGAGGGAAGGAGGTTCTCACCCAAGATTTGACGGTACTTGGCCCCGTCCATCGTCCTTTTGATGCGGTGAAGTTGTCCTGTCCCCTTAGCAGAAAAACACCCCCAAAGCATAATGTTTCCACCTCCATGTTTGACGGTGGGGATGGTGTTCTTGGGGTCATAGGCAGCATTCCTCCTCCTCCAAACACGGAGAGTTGAGTTGATGCCAAAGAGCTCGATTTTGGTCTCATCTGACCACAACGCTTTCACCCATTTCTCTTCTGAATCATTCAGATGTTCATTGGCAAACTTCAGACGGCCTGTATACAGTGGGGAAAAAAAGTATTTAGTCAACCACCAATTGTGCAAGTTCTCCCACTTAAAAAGATGAGAGAGGCCTGTAATTTTCATCATAGGTACACGTCAACTATGACAGACAAAATGAGGAAAAGAAATCCAGAAAATCACATTGTAGGATTTTTAATGAATTTATTTGCAAATTATGGTGGAAAATAAGTATTTGGTCAATAACAAAAGTTTCTCAATACTTTGTTATATACCCTTTGTTGGCAATGACACAGGTCAAACGTTTTCTGTAAGTCTTCACAAGGTTTTCACACACTGTTGCTGGTATTTTGGCCCATTCCTCCATGCAGATCTCCTCTAGAGCAGTGATGTTTTGGGGCTGTCGCTGGGCAACACAGACTTTCAACTCCCTCCAAAGATTTTCTATGGGGTTGAGATCTGGAGAATGGCTAGGCCACTCCAGGACCTTGAAATGCTTCTTACGAAGCCACTCCTTCGTTGCCCGGGCGGTGTGTTTGGGATCATTGTCATGCTGAAAGACACAGCCATGTTTCATCTTCAATGCCCTTGCAGATGGAAGGAGGTTTTCACTCAAAATCTCACGATACATGGCCCCATTCATTCTTTCCTTTACACGGATCAGTCGTCCTGGTCCCTTTGCAGAAAAACAGCCCCAAAGCATGATGTTTCCACCCCCATGCTTCACAGTAGGTATGGTGTTCTTTGGATGCAACTCAGCATTCTTTGTCCTCCAAACACGACGAGTTGAGTTTTTACCAAAAAGTTCTATTTTGGTTTCATCTGACCATATGACATTCTCCCAATCCTCTTTTGGATCATCCAAATGCACTCTAGCAAACTTCAGACGGGCCTGGACATGTACTGGCTTAAGCAGGGGGACACGTCTTGCACTGCAGGATTTGAGTGCCTGGCGGCGTAGTGTGTTACTGATGGTAGGCTTTGTTACTTTGGTCCCAGCTCTCTGCAGGTCATTCACTAGGTCCCCCCGTGTGGTTCTGGGATTTTTGCTCACCGTTCTTGTGATCATTTTGACCCCACGGGGTGAGATCTTGCGTGGAGCCCCAGATCGAGGGAGATTATCAGTGGTCTTATATGTCTTCCATTTCCTAATAATTGCTCCCACAGTTGATTTCTTCAAACCAAGCTGCTTACCTATTGCAGATTCAGTCTTCCCAGCCTGGTGCAGGTCTACAATTTTGTTTCTGGTGTCCTTTGACAGCTCTTTGGTCTTGGCCATAGTGGAGTTTGGAGTGTGACTGTTTGAGGTTGTGGACAGGTGTCTTTTATACTGATAACAAGTTCAAACAGGTGCCATTAATACAGGTAACGAGTGGAGGACAGAGGAGCCTCTTAAAGAAGAAGTTACAGGTCTGTGAGAGCCAGAAATCTTGCTTGTTTGTAGGTGACCAAATACTTATTTTCCACCATAATTTGCAAATAAATTCATAAAAAATCCTACAATGTGATTTTCTGGATTTTCTTTTCTCAATTTGTCTGTCATAGTTGACGTGTACCTATGATGAAAATTACAGGCCTCTCTCATCTTTTTAAGTGGGAGAACTTGCACAATTGGTGGCTGACTAAATACTTTTTTTCCCCACTGTATGTGCTTTCTTGAGCAGGGGGACCTTGCGGGCGCTGCAGGATTTCAGTCCTTCACGGCGTAGTGTGTTACCAATTGTTTTCTTGGTGACTATGGTCCCATCTGCCTTGATATCATTGACAAGATCCTCCCGTGTAGTTCTGGGCTGATTCCTCACCGTTCTCATGATCATTGCAACTCCACGAGGTGAGATCTTGCATGGAGCCCCAGGCTGAGGGAGATTGACAGTCCTTTTGTTTCTTCCATTTGCGAATAATCGCACCAACTGTTGTCACCTTCTCACCAAGCTGCTTGGCGATGGTCTTGTAGCCCATTCCGGCCTTGTGTAGGTTTACAATCTTGTCCCTGACATCATTGGAGAGCTCTTTGATCTTGGCCATGGTGGAGAGTTTGGAATCTGATTGATTGATTGCTTCTGTGGACAGGTGTCTTTTTATATAGTTAACAATCTGAGATTAGGAGCACTCCCTTTAAGAGTGTGCTCCTAATCTCAGCTCGTTACCTGTATAAAAGACACCTGGGAGCCAGAAATCTTTCTGATTGAGAAGGGGTCAAATACTTATTTCCCTCATTAAAATGCAAATCAATTTATAAAATTCTTGACATGCGTTTTTCTGGATTTTTGTTGTTATTCTGTCTCTCACTGTTCAAATAAACCTACCATTAAAATTATAGACTGATCATTTCTTTGTCAGTGGGCAAATGTACAAAATCAGCAGGAGATCAAATACTTTTTTCCCTCACTGTATATACACCTATGATGGGATGTGTAGACATTATGTACAATATATTGATAGAATATGTAGTATATCTGAAGGATGCGTGGATTGAATAGTATATGTACAGCAACAGTTAAATATGATAGGCCTTGACTAAAATACAGTATATAAATGACATGAAATGGGCAAAACAGTATTTAAATATTATTAAAGTGACCAGTGTTCCATGACTATGTACAGTCGTGGTCAAAAGTTTTGAGAATGACACAGGTATTGGTCTTCACAAAGTTTGCTGCTTCAGTGTTTTTAGATATTTTTGTCAGATGTTACTATGGTATACTGAAGTATAATTACAAGCATTCCATAAGTGTCAAAGGCTTTTATTGACAATTACATTAAGTTTATGCAAAGAGTCAATATTTGCAGTGTTGACCCTTCTTTTTCAAGACCTCTGCAATCCGCCCTGGCATGCTGTCAATTAACTTCTGGGCCACATCTTGACTGATGGCAGCCCATTCTTGCATAATCAATGCTTGGAGTTTGTCAGAGTTTACATTTACGTCATTTAGCAGACGCTCTTATCCAGAGCGACTTACAGTTAGTGCACACATTATTATTTTCATACTGGCCCCCCGTGGGAATCGAATCCACAACCCTGGCGTTGCAAACGCCATGCTCTATCAACTGAGCTACCTCCCTGCCTGCCATTCCCTCCCCTACCCTGGACGACGCTGGGCCAATTGTGCGCCACCCCATTGGTCTCCCGGTTGCGGCCGGCTACAGCAGAGCCTGGTATCGAACCAGGATCTCTAGTGGCACAGCTAGCACTGCGATGCAGTGCCTTATACCACTGCGCCAGTCGGGAGGCCTTTTTGTGGGATTTTGTTTGTCCACCCGCCTCTTGAGGATTCACCACAAGTTTTCAATGGGATTAAGGTCTGGGGAGTTTCCCCTGGGACAGACTGATATTCTGCAAAAGGTACAGGGATTGGACTGCTGAGGACTGGGTTAAAGTAATTTTCTCTGATGAATCCCCTTTCCGATTGTTTGGGGCATCCGGAAAAAAGCTTGTCCGGAGAAGACAAGGTGAGCGCTACCATCAGTCCTGTGTCATGCCAACAGTAAAGCATCCTGAGACCATTCATGTGTGGGGTTGCTTCTCAGCCAAGGGATGTGGGCTCACTCACAATTTTGCCTACGAACACAGCCATGAATAAAGAATGGTACCAACACATCCTCCGACAGCAACTTCTCCCAACCATCCAAGAACAGTTTGGTGACGAACAATGCCTTTTCCAGCATGATGGAGCACCTTGCCGTAAGGCAAAATTGATAACTGCTCGGAGAACAAAACATTGACATTTTGGGTCCATGGCCAGCTCGGTCAAATTTGTATGAGATAAATGTTAGTTGGGTGTGGCTGTTTTAGCTCTGTCTTATTTATATGAAAACAAGAGAGCTCCGAACTCATATTAGCCAGCCAGTCAGGAATTAGGCTGAAAGCTTTTTATGCTGGGAAGTCAATATAGTGCATCTCAGGAACTAGAGCTAGCATTCAGTAGGCGTGTTTCTCCCATTATTGACATTCTTTGACAGTGTCATGTGCTTTAATACTGCACAATGCTATACTGCGTGATCAAGTTTTGTGTGACGTGATGCTTAGTTACCCGGCCGCCAAATGATTCAGTCATCGCAACTAAGCTTTTAAACACATACAGTATAGGTTAGGGTCAAGTTCAATTAAATTTGCATGGTGAAATGTGTTCCTCTATTTAGCTATGTGCAATGCAGTTGATGGGATACTTCCTCTTGAAGACCAGTATCTACAGATTCCAGTAATGATGGTTGTTGTTACCGTATGTAGTTGTTGTGGTCTCACCCCTCACTCTCTCTGTTCTTCTCTCTGTCAGTCACAGCGCTGCTAAGGAAGCTGAAACAGCAATCCAGAGAGAGTGTGGCGGACAAGAGGCCAAAGCTACTGAACGCCCTCAAAGAGGTACGGCACTGAGTCATCATTATTTCATATCCCTGATCCCTTGTAGTGTATTTGAGGTGTAAAAAGGCCTCTGAAGTCTGTAATTTCCATTTAACAACAACCCCTACAAAAATGTCTACATAATAATTCACATTTCCTGTTGCTGCAGGATTATTTCCCTGCTGTAGCAAACTGTCTTAAATTAAATTAAGATCCTACCTCTGTATATCTTGTATCCCCATCTTGTCTCTACCCTGTGTCCTCTGCTCCCTACCTCTCCTCTCCCCTCCTCTTCCCATTTTTCTCTTCTTCCTAAATGAACATGATCCATTGCGCTGCGGGGCAGGCTGTGTACTTGCTCCAGATATGCCAGCATAGTCCTCCTAGTCAGAAATGCCACTCTGCTGGACGCACACAGACACACACAGACCCAGGCGCTCTCAGTCACTCAGTCACACACTAACTACTGTCATCACAACAAAGCACCCCCAGAGTACAACCCTCGACATGCAGTGAATATGTCCGCCCCCTAGCCGCCTACGCTCAGGGAATATGCAAACAGACCGCAACATGGGCCCTGGTGGAGGGATGGGGGATCAACCTGCATGAAAGGTGACATTCTCACAAACATTCTAACGAAGCTCCCTGGATGGCATGACACAGGGGGAGGCAGATTCTTCCACTCCACATACGTACATACACACGCATGCATGCACGGCCGCACGCACACACATGCACAGACACAGTTGATAGTCTGGGCTTTGGAGAGCCTTGCAGCACTGTGGCTGGCATGAAGTTGTCGAGGGTAATCTGTGGGCATAAACATCTGGTGCCCTGGGCATAGGCCACTACCAGGTCAGTTGTGACTCCCCAAGGGGATGAACCTGAGTGATGAAGAGAAGGAGAGAGCAATGGAGGAAAGGGATGAAAGAGCAGTTCTCTCCTGTGTTAGATGAGAGGATATTATCATTCCTGTGATGCAGCAGGCCTAGATGTCAGAGATACAGTTGAAGTCGGACGTTTACATACACCTTAGCCAAATACATTTAAAATCAGTTTTTCACAATTCCTGACATTTAATCCTAGTAAAACTTCCCTGTCTTAGGTCAGTTAGGATCACCACTTTATTTTAAGAATGTGAAATGTCAGAATAATAGTAGAGTGATTTATTTCAGCTTTTCTTTCTTTCATCACATTCCCAGTGGGTCAGAAGTTTACATACACTCAATTAGTATTTGGTAGCATTGCCTTTAAATTGTTTAACTTGGGTCAAACGTTTCGGGTAGCCTTCCATAAGCTTCCCACAATAAGTTGGGTGAATTTTGGCCCATTCCTCCTGACAGAGCTGGTGTAACTGAGTCAGGTTTGTAGGCCTCCTTGCTCGCACATGCTTTTTCAGTTCTGCCCACACATTTTCTATAGGATTGAGGTCAGGGCTTTGTAATGGTCACACCAATACCTTGACTTTGTTGTCCTTAAGCCATTTTGCCACAACTTTGGAAGTATGCTTGGGGTCATTGTCCATTTGGAAGACCCATTTGCGACCAAGCTTTAACTTCCTGACTGATGTCTTGAGATGTTGCTTCAATATATCCACATAATTTTCCTTCCTCATGATGCCATCTATTTTGTGAAGTGCACCAGTCCCTCCTGTAGCAAAGCACCCCCACAGCATGATGGTGCCACCCCCGTGCTTCACGGTTGGGATGGTGTTCTTCGGCTTGCAAGACACCCCCTTTTTCCTCCAAACATAATGATAGTCATTATGGCCAAACAGTTATATTTTTGTTTCATCAGACCAGAGGACATTTCTCCAAAATGTACGATCTTTGACCCCATGTGCAGTTGCAAACTGTAGTCTGGCTTTTTTATGGCGGTTTTGGAGAAGTGGCTTCTTCCTTGCTGAGCGGCCTTTGAGGGTATGTCGATATAGGACTTGTTTTACTGTGGATATAGATACTTTTGTACCTGTTTCCTCCAGCATCTTCACATGGTCCTTTGCTGTTGTTCTGGGATTGATTTGCACTTTTCGCACCAAAGTACGTTAATCTCTAGGAGACAGAACGCGTCTCCTTCCTGAGCGGTATGACGGCTGCGTGGTCCCATGGTGTCTATACTTGCGTACTATTGTTTGTACAGATGAACGTGGTACCTTCAGGCGTTTGGAAATTGCTCCCAAGGATGAACCAAACTTGTGGAGGTCTACAAAAAAATTTTCTGAGGTCTTGGCTGATTTCTTTTGATTTTCCCATGATGTCAAGCAAAGAGGCACTGAGTTTGAAGGTAGGCCTTGAAATACATCCACAGGTAGACCTCCAATTGACTCAAATGATGTCAATTAGCCTATCAGAAGCTTCTAAAGCCATGAAATCATTTTCTGGAATTTTCCAAGCTGTTTAAAGGCACAGTGAACTTAGTGTATGTAAATTCATGACCCACTGGAATTGTGATACAGTGAATTATAAGTAAAATAATCTCTCTGTAAACAATTGTTGTAAAAATTACTTGTGTCATGAACAAAGTAGATGTCCTAACCGACTTGCCAAAACTATAGTTTGTTAACAAGGAATTTGTGGAGTGGTTGAAAAAGGAGTTTCAATGACTCCAACCTAAGTGTATGTAAACTTCCGACTTATAATAATAATAATAATAATAATAATAATAATATGCCATTTAGCAGACGCTTTTATCCAAATCCATGTGTGCATACATTTTTACGTATGGGTGGTCCCGGCGATCGAACCCACTACCCTGGCGTTACAAGCGCCATGCTCTACCAATTGAGCTACAGAGGACCACAACTTCAACTGTAGGTGAAAATCTAACTTCAGGGGATTATATTTCTCAGAGATGTGATGCGCTATCATTAATACTACATCTGGAGGTTTTATTTCCGGTCAGTACCGTGAGATTATGTGGGCCAGCTGTGTCATTTCAGAGCATTTTAACTACATATTGGATCCTAAACTCATTGAAGAAAATTAGGCTCAACTAGGATATGCTTGATACGGTAATGTCTGTCAGGTCCACTCTTCCTCAGTTTACTCTCGCTGGTGTATTTCGATAATGAAATTGATATTCTGTTTCTTTACAGCTGGGAGACTTTTACTTGGAGCTTCACTGGGACTTTCAAAGCTGGGGTGAGTTTTCTTTGCATTCCACACAAGTATATGATCAAATTACCCACAACCAGGCCTACTCACTACAACTGTTCAGTTTCTTTTTAACAACACAGAGTGCATCTACTTAGATTAAAGTTAAAATACTAGCATGGTTGACGTTGTTAAACAGAGTGTGTTTGTGTTAATGTGGTGGTATCTCTAAGAGAGCCCAGCTATGTGGGTGTCAGTGAGTGAGTGCTCTCTGCCTAGTTGGTTGGGAACAGAGTGAAGCTGAGAGATTGTTTACAACCCTGAGGTAATCCTCTGGAGGGAGTGGCTTTCCCATCCACACACTGACAGAAAGACAGACACTTCCCCTGGTGGTGGCTATACATCATTACAACATCCCACCACCAGCATTACTAAGGCCTATGAACATTTACATCAATCAATCTAATGTAATGTATTTTATAAAGCCCTTTTTACAGCAGAGTGCTTATACAGAAATCCAGCCTAAACCCCCAAAGAGCAAGCAATGCAGATGTAGAAGCACGATGTCTAGGAAAAACTCCCTAGAAAGGCAGGAACCTAGGAAGAAACTTAGAGAGGAACCGGGCTCCAAGCGGTGTCCAGTCCTCTTCTGGCTGTGCCGGGTAGCGATTCTAACATTGTCATTAATGCCAGATCGTTCTTCAAGATGTTCAAACGTTCATAAATGACCAGCAGGGTCAAATAATAATCACAGTGGCTATAGAGGGTGCACAAGGTCAGCACCTCAGGAGTAAATGTCAGTTGCCTTTTCATAGCTGAGCATTCAGAGGTCGAGCGAGGTAGAAAGAGAAAGAATCAATTAAGCTTAATTTTAGATGCATTATTCACTTAATGCCTATCGTTTCTTGGAATAAATTATAGAGAAAATGCTGTTACAAATGTCCTGAATTACTTTGGCTAAATGTCCAGTGTAAGTCAAGAGTGTGTTCACATGTCCCTGTCCATGTTAAATATTGACCTGCTTGTAAAAATTATGTGACTGTTCACAACAGTAAAGAAAGGGATGCTGATTGTGTAAGTGTGAGTTGGTAGAATTTGACAGGGGATGTAGCCTAGTGCCCCTGTGTGGCAATGGCTCAAATCCAAAGAATGCATTGGGAGATGCCTTTTTATATTAGCACTGTTCAGGAGGGTGAAACATCACAGAACATTCAGATGGAAATGTATAGTGCAGAACAGATATAACAGAGAATTGTGCCAGCTCTATTCATTCTATTTCTATATGCAATATTCTGAACATTTCACCTCACAGACATTGAGAGACCGGGACCCCAGCAGCCCTTTTCAATATGCTGGGGATAAAACAGACACGTTGTCCTGTCTGTACTAGTGCAGATCAAAGGGAATTGATTTCCTCTCAGAGAGAGGTGCACTGCTGGCACACATGGCATTCATAGGCTATGTTCCAATATCCATGCTAGCATACTTATATATACATTAGAATTAAGGGGGTGTGGTATATGGCCAGTATACCACGGCTAAGGGCTGTTCTTAAGCAAGACACAACACGGAGTGCCTGGATACAGCCCTTAGCCGTGGTATGTTGGCCATATACCACAAACCCCCTAGGTGCCTTATTGCTATTATAAACTGGTTACCAACGTAATTAAAAATAAATATTGTATCATGCCCATGGTATACGGTCTGATATACCACAGTTTTCAGCCAATCACCATTCAGGGCTCGAACCACCCAGTTTATAATGCAATATAGTACAGCATGCTAACGTGAGTATTGGAACATGGACAATAGTATGGTGCCCTCCAAGGGTCAGAAGTGGTCTCAAATCCTACTTACACATAACCTAAGTCAGTCATATAATACCTACTTACACATAACCTAAGTCAGTCATATAATAATAATCGAACCCGGGTCTGTAGTGATGCCTCAAGCACTGCGATGCAGTGCCTTAGACCGCTGCGCCACTCGGGAGGCAGGACTTATACCTTTTAAATACTTTTTCTCTCACTCTGTGATTTTGTGCAATTTATTTTGGTGCAGGACTTTGGAAATCATTATTTAATGACAGTCTGTAAAGAGTGTTAAATATTGAACTGCATATGCCTGTGCTGGTATGGGCTCCGAAAGGGGGAATATAGGAGCTTTGAAGTGGTTGGTGATGATCATTATTAAGGAGTTTCTAAACTTAGGCCTATTTATTTCCCCATGTTGCAGTGCCTTTGCTCTCCCGAATCCTTCCCTCTGACGCTTGTAAGATCTACAAACAGGGCATCAACATCCGGTGAGTCAAGTAATCCCTTGTTTTTATGACGTCTTAACAAGCAACAATTTGCTTGAAGCCAATAGATAAGATCATTGTAACAAAGAAGCATGTCAAACAGATTACAACACATGTAATAAACAGACGGATGTCCCATCATGGATCACTGATTCAGTTTTCTGTACTGGTCTCAGCTGCTACAGCCTGTGTAAAGCTTGTCCACGCACACACAATGCTGTTGCTTCTCCTCCTACGCAGCTCAAAATCCATAAACTGTCTTCACCAATGTTTAACCTTGGTTGGGTCTGTTTCTCCTTCAGCCATCTTGTCATAGTCTTGGCAGGGCAGAGATGAAGTTTCATTAAATGCAGAAAGAGTCAGGTATTGAGCTTTCCCCTATGGACAAACCCAAGGAGCCACCTCTGTCTAACAACATTAGACTGGTGCTTCTCCTGACTGATGTCCTCAGCTTCAGTATTATACTGATATGGTAAAACCCACTATAATAAAAGTCAATATGCCTTGAGAAAACTATTTTATTGAAGCACTTTCAAGCTTTTAGGGCCCTATTCAGTTCAGTATAAATCCCTGGCCTTGAACACTACACCTTCTCCCAGCTTTATGGGCTTCTGTAAAGCCAGCCCGAGCACGGTGGCTAACTACCAGCACGGTTAACTAGAGTGTGAAATCGGTTTTCACACTGCTGTGACTGAGCAGCACGGCATCTGTTTGCAGATCTATTACCTCTACATCCCTCTCCAAATAATTACACGTAGATAGAGAGAAGCAGCACCTACCCTCAACCTAACTCTACCGACTCTATTATAATTTGCCCAGTGCCGAGTTGTCACATTCAATTATTCCCCATCCAGTAGCAAAATGCTATTCACCAGTTGGACTATACAGAATACAGTAAAGTTCTCTGGGTTAATGTGTTAGCAGGCTGGTTAATGTATGCTGTGTTGCTGAGCTTTACAAGCCTCAGTGTTCAGTGACATGAAGCCAGGTTCAGGCTGTGTTGTTCTTCAAAGGGCCTGAATTTTACCACACACAGCTCTGGCATACCGTGACATGCGCACACACACACACACACACACACACACACACACACACACACACACAGAGAGACAGACAAATGAACGTGTTTTGAGGCGTTGCTAGGTTACTTGCCTCACAAATTGCCCCCCTCCTCCGCACCTCTCCCCTGCTCTGAATCTATGCAACGCTGAAGATTCAGGGCTAATTATTCTCAGACACATGAAAGTGTGTGCATGTTGTTGTGAGTGGGTGGTGAAGAAAGAAAGCTGTCTAACAGGCTTTCAAAATGTCCGTAGGAGAGGGGGGCCAAGGTATATAGTGCATTCGGAAAGTATTCAGACCCCTTCACTTTTTCCACATTTTGTTTAGTTACAGCCTTGTTCTAAAATGGATTAAATTAAATATACACACAACATCCCATAATGACAAAGCAAAAACAGGTTTTTCCAAATCTTTGCACATTTCATGCACTCAAATGTAATTCCTCTGCTGGAGGTGTAAAACACAAGGGGACATATTTGCAGAAAACAGAAATCACATTTACATAAGTATTCAGACCCTTTACTCAGTGCTTTGTTGAAGCACCTTTGGCAGCGATTACAGCCTTGAGTCTTCTTGGGTATGACGCTACAAGCTTGGCAAACCTGTATTTGGGGAGTTTCTCCCATTCTTCTTTCCAGATCCTCTCATGCTCTGTCAGGTTGGATGGGGAGCGTCGCTGCACAGCTATTTTCAGGTCTCTCCAGAGATGTTCGATCGGGTTCAAGTCCGGGCTCTGGCTGGGCCACTCAAGGACATTCAGAGACTTGTCCCGAAGCCACTCCTGCATTGTCTTGGCTGTGTGCTTAGGATGGTGCCAGGTTTCCTCCAGACGTGACGCTTGGCATTCAGGCCAAAGAGTTAAATCTTGGTTTCATCAGACTAGAGAATCTTGTTTCCCATGGTCTGAGAGTCCTTTAGGTGCCTTTTTGGCAAACTCCGAGCAGGCTGTCATGTGCCTTTTACTGAGGAGTGGCTTCCGTCTGGCCACTCTACCATAAAGGCCTTATTTGGTGGAGTGCTGTAGAGATGGTTGTCCTTTTGGAAGGTTCTCCCGTCTCCACAGAGGAACTCAGAAGCTCTGTCAGAGTGACCTTCCTGACCAAGGCCCTTCTCCCCCGATTGCTCAGTTTGGCTGGGCGGCCATCTCTAGGAAGAGTCTTGGTGGTTCCAAACTTCTTCCATTTAAGAATGATGGAGGCCACTGTGTTCTTGGGGACCTTCAAGGCTGCATAAACGTTTTGGTACCCTTCCCCAGATCTGTGCCTCGACACAATCCTGTCTCAGAACTCTATGGACAATTCCTTCGACCTCATGGCTTGGTTTCTGCTCTGACAAGCACTGTCAACTGTGGGACCTTATATAGACAGGTGTGTGCCTTTCCAAATAATGTCCAATCAATTGAATTTACCACAGGTGGACTCCAATCAAGTTGTAGAAACATCTCAAGGATGATCAATGGAAACAAGATGCACCTGAGCTCAATTTCGAGTCTCATAGCAAAAGGTCTGAATACTTATGTAAATAAGGTATTTCTGTTTTCACTTTGTCATTACTGGGTATTGTGTGTAGATTGATGAGGAAAAAATTAATTTAATCAATTTTAGAATAAGGCTGTAACGTAACAAAGTGGAGAAAGTCAAGGGATCTGAATACTTTCCAAATGCACTGTAACTTCATTTTCATTCCAATGGTTGAAAGTCTTCGCTCTGTCGTGCCTCTCACTCTCCTTTTCATTGTCTATGTGCAGCACATATAATTGTTTAGTTATTATCTTTGTTGCCACACCTCATTTCTCCACTACTTCCTGAAACTAGCTTTTCTTGGAAAACATAGAAATGGGTTGTCTCCCATGGCAACCATTAAATCAAAAGCCATCTGAGCTTTTAGAAACCAAGTTTCAATTCTTTAGTTTTATCGAAAAAAGCTTTACTTTTAAGCTGTCTGTTGCTTAGTGACAAGGAAGTGTCCTTGATCTTATACTCGGTGTGTGTGTGTGTGTGTTTGTGTGTGTGTCTCCCTCACACTCTTTCTGTCATTTCTCTCATTACTTCTTTTGATCTTTTGGTTTTTAAGGGGTGTGGAGGGGTTATGTAGATGTGAGTAATCAATAAGCATACATATGAACTAGAGGCAATATGTGCTTTTTTAATGTGCTGGTACTGGTGCTATTGACATTATATTGACCCATGAAGTGGTTTGAAATTCAATTTTCTCTCCTTCCCTTTCTGTCTGTTTGGTCATAGACTGGACACCACCCTAATAGACTTCACAGATATGAAGTGCCAACGTGGTGACCTCAGCTTCATCTTCGATGGTGACGCCATCCCCTCGGAGTCCTTTGTGGTGCTGGACAATGAACAGAAGGTGTACCAACGGATACACCACGAGGTGAGACACACGACTTGATGCTGAAGTTGTTGTTTTTGCACTTCTCTAGCTAATGACCCTCACAGTTTTTTATTCCACCTTTAAAAATGGGGCACCTAGCTTCTGAACTCTGTGAGCCCTGTTTTTGTGAAGTGTGTTTGTGTGTGCTGAAGGCTTCTACCTGCTTACCAATTTGGCGGTGGCTCCTTGTGTTCCAGGAGTCAGAGATGGAGACAGAGGAAGAGGTGGACATCCTCATGAGCAGCGATGTTTACTCTGCCACCCTCTCCACCAAGTCCATCACATTCTCCAGAGCCCAGACCGGCTGGCTGTTCCGAGAGGATAAAACGGTTAATTTATACATCTCTGTCTCGCTCTCCGTCTAATACTAAAACATATCTTTCTCAAAATTAGGGCTGTGGCGATCATGACATTTTGTCAGCCGGTGATTGTCAAGCAAATAACTGCCGGTCTCACGGTAATTGACCGTTAATGAACATAAACACATTTAGCATCTCCTGGCTTCCACGCATAGCCTACAAGCCACTGATGCAGACCTTTGGAACATCTACATTTAAAAAAGTCTAATAAATCCATTTAATATAGCCTACACCACCACAATAAATTCATTATTTATTTCAGACAGGTCTAAAGAAAATGTAGTTTATTTCAGAAGAACACAATAGCATACTCTGAGTTGTCCTTATGTTAGGCCCTGATCTGGCAATGCCATATGGCTGTAGGCTACTCTAGTTCATTTAGCAGACAAAGATTTGCTTTGAATTCCATGGCATTATTTTATAGTATGAAGAATACAATTGAACATAGCTGTATAAAATAGATAGGATATTTTCTCCAAACAATTTCTGAGTGCGTGCGCACATGCGGCTATTCTGTGTTGACCGGTTAACAAAGAAACAGGTCCTCCTATATGCTTGATTTGGAGTTATTTATGCAACTTTAGTTGTGATACAAACGTTGGGTAAATTTAGATTTGTAATACATTCTAAGACTGCATGTGACTCTAATGATGATTTGAAAAAAGTTGCATGAACGGCATACTCTTTGCTTTGGTTCTTGTGCAGGCTGCACACACTTCATCAGTCTCTCATTCACATTTTGACAAGCACTTAATAATGCCTGGAATTACCCGCCGGCATCGCCCTTGTGTGGCCGTAATGCCCCCTAAAAAAATCCATGCCTTTTGCAGCCAGTGGCCAATTCTTATTAGCCAATGCCCGTCACGTGATCGGGTCCTTCTCACAGGCATCTCAGCTTCCATGTAGACTAAAAGTGAAGACAGACACATCAGCGACGGAACTGCGCGTGTCCTTTTTATTGAATTCCGAGGCGCATATTGAAGATGTTAAAAGAACTGTCCACATTTAGTTTTTGTCAGCCAACAAGCCAACTAGGCCTTATTTTATTTATTTATTTATTTATTTTTATTTCACCTTTATTTAACCAGGTAAGCCAGTTGAGAACAAGTTCTCATTTACAACTGCGACCTGGCCAAGATAAAGCAAAGCAGTGTGAAAAAAAACAACAACAACACAGAGTTACATATGGAATAAACAAAACGTACAGTCAATAACACAATAGAAAATCTATATAAAGTGTGTGCAAATGTAGTAAGTTATGGAGGTAAGGCAATAAATAGGCCATAGTGCAAAATAATTAAAATGTAGTATTAACACTGGAGTGATAGATGTGCAGAAGATGTTGTGCAAATAGAGATACTGGGGTGCAAATGAGCAAAATAAATAACAATGTAAATAACAATATGGGGATGAGGTAGTTGGGTGGGCTAATTACAGATGGGCTGTGTACAGGTGCAGTGATCGGTAAGCTGCTCTGACAACTGATGCTTAAAGATAGTGAGGGAGATACAGTGGGGAGAACAAGTATTTGATACACTGCCGATTTTGCAGGTTTTCCTACTTACAAAGCATGTAGAGGTCTGTAATTTTTATCATAGGTACACTTCAACTGTGAGAGGCGGAATCTAAAATCAATAAAATCACATTGTATGATTTTTAAGTAATTAATTTGCATTTTATTGCATGACATAAGTATTTGATACATCAGAAAAGCAGAACTTAATATTTGGTACAGAAACCTTTGTTTGCAATTACAGAGATCATATGTTTCCTGTAGGTCTTGACCAGGTTTGCACACACTGCAGCAGGGATTTTGGCCCACTCCTCCATACAGAAATTCTCCAGATCCTTCAGGTTTCGGGGCTGTCGCTGGGCAATACGGACTTTCAGCTCCCTCCAAAGATTTTCTATTGGGTTCAGGTCTGGAGACTGGCTAGGCCACTCCAGGACCTTGAGATGCTTCTTACGGAGCCACTCCATAGTTGCCCTGGCTGTGTGTTTCGGGTCGTTGTCATACTGGAAGACCCAGCCACGACCCATCTTCAATGCTCTTACTGAGGGAAGGAGGTTGTTGGCCAAGATCTCGCAATACATGGCCCCATCCATCCTCCCCTCAATACGGTGCAGTCGTCCTGTCCCCTTTGCAGAAAAGCATCCCCAAAGAATGATGTTTCCACCTCCATGCTTCATGGTTGGGATGGTGTTCTTGGGGTTGTACTCATCCTTCTTCTTCCTCCAAACACGGCGAGTGGAGTTTAGACCAAAAAGCTATATTTATGTCTCATCAGACCACATGACCTTCTCCCATTCCTCCTCTGGATCATCCAGATGGTCATTGGCAAACTTCAGACGGGCCTGGACATGCGCTGGCTTGAGCAGGGGGACCTTGCGTGCGATGCAGGATTTAAATCCATGACGGCGTAGTGTGTTACTAATGGTTTTCTTTGAGACTGTGGTCCCAGCTCTCTTCAGGTCATTGACCAGGTCCTGCCGTGTAGTTCTGGGCTGATCCCTCACCTTCCTCATGATCATTGATGCCCCACGAGGTGAGATCTTGCATGGAGCCCCAGACCGAGGGTGATTGACCGTCATCTTGAACTTCTTCCATTTTCTAATAATTGCGCCAACAGTTGTTGCCTTCTCACCAAGCTGCTTGCCTATTGTCCTGTAGCCCATCCCAGCCCTGTGCAGGTCTACAATTTTATCCCTGATGTCCTTACACAGCTCTCTGGTCTTGGCCATTGTGGAGAGGTTGGAGTCTGTTTGATTGAGTGTGTGGACAGGTGTCTTTTATACAGGTAACGAATTCAAACAGGTGCAGTTAATACAGGTAATGAGTGGAGAACAGGAGAGCTTCTTAAAGAAAAACTAACAGGTCTGTGAGAGCCGGAATTCTTACTGGTTGGTAGGTGATCAAATATTTATGTCACGCAATAAAATGCTAAGTAATTACTTAAAAATCATACAATGTGATTTTCTAGATTTTTGTTTTAGATTCCGTCTCTCACAGTTGAAGTGTACCTATGATACAAATTACAGACCTCTACATGCTTTGTAAGTAGGAAAACCTGCAAAATCGGCAGTGTATCAAATACTTGTTCTCCCCACTGTAAGTGTCTCCAGCTTCAGAGATTTTTGCAGTTCGTTCCAGTCATTTGCAGCAGAGAACTGGAAGGAATGGCGACCAAAGGAGGTGTTGGCTTTGGGGATGACCAGTGAGATATACCTACTGGAACGCATACTACGGGTGGGTGTTGCTATGGTGACCAATGAGCTAAGATAAGGCGGGGATTTGCCTAGAAGGGATTTATAGATGACCTGGAGCCAGTGGGTTTGGCGACGAATATGTAGTGAGGGCCAGCCAACGAGAGCGTACAGGTCACAATGGTGGGTAGTATATGGGGCTTTGGTGACAAAACGGATGGCACTGTGATAGACTACATCCAATTTGCTGAGTAGAGTGTTGGAAGCTATTTTGTAAATGACATCGCCGAAGTCAAGGATCGGTAGGATAGTCAGTTTTACAAGGGCATGTTTAGCAGCATGAGTGAAGGAGGCTTTGTTGGGAAATAGGAAGCCGATTCTAGATTTAACTTTGGATTGGAGATGCTTAATGTGAGTCTGGAAGAAGAGTTTACAGTGTAACCAGACACCTACGTATTTGTAGTTGTCCACATATTCTAAGTCAGAGCCGCCGAGAGTAGTGATTCTAGTCGGGCAGGCGGGTGCAAGCAGTGTTCGATTGAAGAGCATGCATTTAGTTTTACAAGCGTTTAAGAGTAGTTGGAGGCCACGGAAGGAGTGTTGTATGGCATTGAAGCTTGTTTGGAGGTTTGTTAACACAGTGTCCAATGAAGGGCCAGATGTATACAACATGGTGTCATCTGCGTAGAGGTGGATCTGAGAGTCACCAGCAGCAAGAGCGACATCATTGATATACACAGAGAATAGAGTCGGCACGAGAATTGAACCCTGTGGCACCCCCATAGACTGCCAGAGGTCCAGACAACATGCCCTCTGATTTGATACATTGAACTCTATCTGAGAAGTAGTTGGTGAACCAGGCGAGGCAGTCATTTGAGAAACCAAGGCTATTTAGTCTGCCAATAAGAATGCGGTGATTGACAGAGTCAAAAGCCTTGGCCAGGTCAATGAAGACGGCTGCACAGTACTTTCTTTCATAGATCGCGGTTATTATATCGTTTAGGACCTTGAGCGTGGCTGAGGTACACCCATGACCAGCTCGGAAACCAGATACTATAGCGGAGAAGGTACGGTGGGATTCTAAATGGTCGGTGATCTGTTTGTTAACTTGGCTTTCAAATACTTTCGAAAGGCAGGGCAGGATGGATATAGGTCTGTAACAGTTTGGATCTAGAGTGTCACCCCCTTTGAAGAGGGGGATGACCGCGGCAGCTTTCCAATCTCTGGGGATCTCAGACGATACGAAAGAGAGGTTGAACAGGCTGGTGATAGGAGTTGTGACAATTTCGGCAGCTAATTTTAGAAAGAAAGGGTCCAGATTGTCTAGCCCAGCTGATTTGTAGGGGTCCAGATTTTGCAGCTCTTTCAGAACATCAGCTATCTGAATTTGGGTGAAGGAGAAGCGGGGGGGGGGGGCATGGGCAAGTTGCAACGGAGGGTGCAGAGCTGGTGGCCGGGGTATGGGTAGCCAGGTGGAAAGCATGGCAAGCCGTAGCAAAATGCTTGTTGACATTTTTGATTATCGTAGATTTATCGGTAGTGACAGTGTTTCCTAGCCTCAGTGCAGTGGGCAGTTGGGAGGAGGTGCTCTTATTCTCCATGGACTTTACAGTGTCCCAAAACTTTTTGGAGTTAGTGCTACAGGATGCACATTTCTGTTTGAAAAAGTTAGCCTTTGCTTTCCTTTTTTTTTTTTTTTTTTTTTTTTTTCTGGGGGGGGGATGGATCAGCATATAGATAGATTGTAACTTCTATCAATGTAATTGTGTGCATCACTTCCAATCCCCCATTTTTTAAATATATATACTCCCCTTTATTACTTTTCAACCCCGCCATCCTTTCCCTACTTGGAGTAAATTAGTGAACAACAATGCCCAGGCCTCTACTTCCGGCCTATACTTACTATCTACACCTTATGGACACAGTCAATTTTACAATAATTATATTATATTTGTTTAGTTTTTTTTGTTTTTGCTCCTGAACTACTTCTACTCTCAACCTCTCCGATCATTTTCATGATGTCCATCCGGTTTGCTTCTATATGCCATATCTTTCTAACTGTGCTCTTTCCCAAAAGCTCCCAACATACAACCTATATACTTATTATGGACACACTTACATTATTAGCTACCTTTGTTATTATTTGTTGTTATTTGTTATTAGTCCCATCCTTCAACTCCATTCAATACCTCCCATCTATCTCTTAACACCATCCATATAGGATTTCTATTTGCCATATATATTTCAATCGTACTGTGATGCTTTACAAAAGTTCTGAACCTTTCTATTCTCATTGCTTCTACAGGTTGTGAATTAAAAATATACATTTTTGCTAAAGTATTATTATATTATTGATCGATTTACTATGACTTTTCAGATCACCCAGTAATGCTATCTGCAAGGTTAGCTCCAGGTAAATATTGCAATCCTTTAGCCATTCCTGGACCTGTGTCCAAAAACAAGCTACAAATGGACAGTACCAAAACAAATGATCTAATGATTCTGTCTCTTCACAGCAAAATCTGTAGAGCTGGGAAGATTGTATCCCCCATATAAATAACATTCTATTGGTAGCAAGAATTTTATATAATAATTTAAATTGAAAGATTCAAATTTTTGAATCCGGTGTCGATTTGCGTGTCAGTTCATAAACACTATACCATGGGATCAGTACGTCAAATCTCTTCCCAACTATTTTGCAATCTATATGGGACGGCTGTCAATCCTTTGGTCCTTAAGTGAAACTGATATACTTTTTTATTTATCACAGTTTTCCTTAACCAATTATGTTCTTTATTGCAAGGCCGACAGACAAGTTCCTTACTTTCTCCCCCTTCCACTTTCCTCTTCCACTTTTGCGGTAAGGCTGCAATTATTTGGTTGTAATTTTGAGTAGAGCAGACATTTCCATATGTTTTTGTTAGCTGCATGTGCGACATAACTCCACCAGTCCTACCGATGATATCATTTACGAAGATTATACCTTTTTTAAACATTCTATCAAAAAATAAAGGTTTTTTGTCAATTAGTATATTTGAATTTAACCACAATATTTATTGTTTTTGCTTTCCTAACTGATTTTGTATATTGGTTACTGACTTCCCTGAAAAGTTGCATATCGCGGGGGCTGTTCGATGCTAATGCCGTACGCCACAGGATGTTTTTGTGCTGGTCAAGGGCAGTCAAGTCTGGGGTGAACCAGGGGCTATATCTGTTCTTAGTTCTGAATTTTTTTAATGGGGCATGCTTATTTAAGATGGAGAGGAAAGCACTGTTAAAGAACAACCAGGCATCCTCTACTGACGGAATGAGGTCAATATCCATCAAGGATACCCGGGCCAGGTCAATTAGAAAGGCCTGCTCGCTGAAGTGTTTTAGGGAGCATTTGACAGTGATGAGGGGTGGTCGTTTGACCCATTACGGACGCAGGCAATGAGGCAGTGATCGCTGAGATCCTGGTTGAAGACAGCGGAGGTGTATTTAGAGGGTAAATTAGTCAGGATGATATCTATGAGGGTGCCCATGTTAACGGATTTAGGGTTGTACCTGGGAGGTTCCTTGATAATTTGTGTGAGATTGAGGGCATCTAGTTTATATTGTAGGACGGCCGGGGAACTAGGCCTAACGAACAGCAAAAGCACTAGCCTATGTCAATCTACTATCCCCCATAGTACAAAAGTTGACCTATACTATTGGTCAACTTGTCCTTCTGTGCGAGAAATAAATATTCCTAACTTAGTCTGGAACAGTTGTGGGATACGATAGATCCCAAATGAATACAACCACTCTCATCAAAAAACCTTTTAAAAGCAATGAGGTTGATGCAACAGATCAGAGCGTTTAGCTTAAAATGTTGATAAACTATTAGGCTATTTTTCCACATTATAAGCGCAGCGATGCGCACACTGCAGTAGGCTATAAGCGCAAATGTTCCAAAATGTAATCAATTAGCGGGAAAACACCATTCTCAAAAGTGACCGCAAATGTGATTATGCATGTAATGCTTTATTATAAAGGTGCATTTTTATGGTGAAAATGTTCTTCCCCAAACTTGAAACTCACGCGCCGCCTATGTATGCTAGTTAGGTTCTACACCGGTTATAAAGCTGATTAATGTGCTTAATTCTAAGAAGTTATTTGGCCACTTTAGTTGTGATACAAACCTTATCAAAACATATAGGCCTATGGGCTAGGCTACATGAGGTGTGCGACTGATTTGAAAAAGTTGCAAAAAAAGGCATGTGCTGTTTCTTGCCTTAATGCACACAAGCTGGGCATCCTTCACAAGTGATAATATATCATTCACAAGTGATAGGCTAATTTTCTCACCCATCAGACTATTCTTAGTTTAATATTGTCTTTACATATACTAAATAATATATGTGTGAAATTAGTTTTGATTTAGAATGGACCATTATCATGCACCGGTCTCGGAACAGGGGCAGGGCAAAATACATGTCATCTATGCACTTAAATAGTGAATGGAGGACACCTTTCCCATGGGTCATTTTCATGCCAGCCAGGTGGGCTATACTCCTGTTGTAAAGTGAAGCAATATGCTTAATATTTGGAAAGTTGAGAAATAAATATAGTAGGCCTAGCCTGTAGAAAGCTGATAGGATCCTCCTTTTTATAATAGAGATCATCAAAACTCTGTTTTCTCATACAATTGCATAGCCTATAGAAATGTTGCACAACATGCTCTCATGAAGTGTTTGATTTGATTTTTGATTACATTTGCATTGATGTCAGAGGGATTAGAGGGACAATAGAGTGCTGAGTACCAGGCAGTTAGCAAGTTTGGTAGGCTACTAATGACCATCAGCAGCATCAGAGCTTGGAGAAGCCTAGTTACCGTGACTAAATGGTGTCACGAGAATTTTGTTATCTCAATGGTTGAACTCAACTATCACTTAAGCTTTGAATAATTCCCAGAGGTTGTAAGGCTCTGGTTAACGAAGAATTAAACAAATTCCCAGTCTTTATTCAGAGAGCGCTCTCCCGCTAAAAACCCACACAGTCTTTTTATATGCGTTCACACAAAGGAACTTGCTCCGCCCACCTTTAGGCGGCCTGTGACTTTCCACAGTATAGAATGTTTAAGTTGAACAGTTTCTAGGTTCCCCCTTCCTATGGAATGTTTGTCTCCAACTGTTTTTACCCCCCTTCCCTGTTAGTGGTTTTATTGTCTTATAACTCTAACACAGTTTACACAGTTATACAGTATCGGGGAGGAATATTATAGTCATTACATTAAACATACAAATTCATCTATCAATGGTCACGTGGAATTTGACTGCGGTCATGACTCGTGACTGCCAGTGTGGCGGTAATACAGTCACCGAACAGCCCTACTCAGAATGTGACCTCTGCTACTCTACAGTACAGTCTTGTTATTCAATGCAGTACAGGATACCCATGTCCCACAACAAAGTTCAAAGGCAACAGAGTAACCAAAACATAGAGGTTGTGTTTGATAAACATCTTGGGAGACTATTATTATTGGGGTATTGCTGTTTGGTTCTGTCTTTTGAAGGGAAATTGGTGACTGAGTTTTTTTTTTCATGTCCTTTGTCGCTCCAGGAGCGTGTGGGAAATTTCCTGGCAGATTTCTACTCAGTGAACGGGCTGGTGCTGGAGTCACGGAAGCGTCGGGAGCACCTGACCGAGGAGGACATCCTGAGGAACAAAGCCATCATGGAGAGCCTGAGCAAAGGAGGGAACCTCATTGAGCAGAACTACGAGGTGAGCTCCGCCGTGAGGCCCTCTAGCTGCAGAACTATGAGGTGAGCTCCGCCGTGAGGCCCTCTAGCTGCAGATCTATGAGGGGAGTCTCTCTAGCTGCAGAGTACGGGTATACTGTATGGCCACAATGTAAACATTCACCCAACTAAAACATTTAACAATATTTTCACATCCATAACGTTACAGAACTTTTAACTTTTCCTCTTCTCAAACCTTGTTGTGACCCAGAGCTATAGCGCCATGCTGGGCCTCTGTGCTGGCTTGGGTTCGGTCTTTGTCTAGTTTAGCAGTGGGACATCCCAAGTTGGGGCCCTTGGCTGAAGTTCTATGCTGGGGCCTCTAACTGGAATTCTGCTAGGGCCGACTGGTATGATGTCACCTGTTATGGCTGTGTGCTGGGCACTGTGTGCAAAGTGAAGATCCTGTTTGCTTGTACCTTCAGCATAAATGCGAGTCCAGTCCTGAAACTCTCCTCTCCCGCTGTACCTTTGGGGTAGGCCCTCTCAGACCCCACTACTTGCCACTCTTATATCACCATCCTATAGGATCTCCTCTCACTTCCAGTCACTTTTACCAAAACATGTCAATGAGACATGGACCACAAGAGTGTCATGTCTTTTCACTTAGCATACGGCTCTTTTGATATAGAACATGTCGGCATGGTTTATTTGGAAATACTCACTCCTCTTGGGTTTCTTTATAGTTGTATTTGTTTTGGACATACTGTCTGTCGGAATGAAAACGGCCCTTCTAAACCTCGTTTGTGGCATTTTGCCAAGGGAGAACGACTGCCCCTCTCATTGAAGCCATGGAAGTTCAAGGCCGACCGCAGTACTGGAGGTATTGTAAGCAGAAAGCCGGAACCCCCATTATAGTGAATGGGAATTGCTTCTAATACACAGTGCATTCGGAAAGTATTCAGACCCCTTCACCTTTTCCACATTTACGTTACAGCCTTATTCTAAAATGGATTGAATAAAAACATTTCCTCATCAATCTACAACAATACCCCATAATGACGAAGCGAAAACAGCTTTTTAGAATTTTTTTGCAAATGTATTAAAAATAAAAAACAGAAATACCTTATTTACATAAGTATTCAGACCCTTTGCTATGAAACTCGAAATTGAGCTCAGGTGCATCCTGTTTCCATTGATCATCCTTGAGATGTTTCTACAACTTGATTGTAACGAGGCACAGATCTGGGGAAGGGTACCAAAAAAATATCTGCAGCATTGAAGGTCCCCAAGAACACAGTGGCCTCCATCATTCTTAAATGGAAGAAGTTTGGAACCACCAAGACTCTTCCTAGAGCTGGCCGCCCGGCCAAACAGCAATCGGGGCGGGAGTATGGCCTTGGTCAGGGAGGTGACCAAGAACCCGATGGTCACTCTGACAGAGCTGCAAAGTTCCTCTGTGGAGATGGAAGAAACGTCCAGAAGGAAAACCATCTCTGCAGCACTCCACCAATCAGGCCTTTATGGTAGAGTGGCAAGACGGAAGCCACTCCTCAGTAAAAGGCACATGACAGCCCGCTTGGAGTTTGCCAAAAGGCACCTAAAGGACTCTCAGACCATGAGAAACAAGATTCTCTGGTCTGATGAAACCAAGATTGAACTCTTTGGCCTGAATGCCAAGCGTCATGTCTGGAGGAAACCTGTCACCATCCCTACAGTGAAGCATGGTGGTGGCAGCATCATGCTGTGGGAATGTTTTTCAGCAGCAGGGACTGGGAGACTAGTCAGGATCGAGGGAAAGCTGAACGGAGCAAAGTACAGAGAGATCCTTAATGAAAACCTGCTCCAGCGCGCTCAGGACCTCAGACTGGGGAGAAGGTTCACCTTCCAACAGGACAATGACCCTAAGCACACAGCCAAGACAACGCAGGAGTGGCTTCAAGACAGGTCTCTGAATGTCCTTGAGTGGCCCAGACAGAGCCCGGATTTGAAACCGACCGAACATCTCTGGAGAGACCTGAAAATAGCTGTGCAGCAACGCTCCCCATCCAACCTGACAGAGCTTGAGAGGATCTGCAGAGAAGAATGGGAGAAACTCCCCAAATACAGGTGTGCCAAGCAACAAATTATTTTAAAATCGCACACAGAAGAAGTTATAAGGTCCTCTGTAGCTCAATTGGTAGAGCATGGCGCTTGTAACACCAGGGTAGTGGGTTCGATCCCCGGGACCACCCATATGTAAAAATGTATGCACACATGACTGTAAGTCGCTTTGGATAAAAGCGTCTGCTAAATGGCATATTATTATTATATTATTAATTTAGTTGCTAATGGCAGCCTGCAGTACCCCGGTCGGCCTTCAACTTGAGTTACTCAATGAGAGGGGGCAGCACTGAACTAGCGTGCAACGTCACTTCCTGCACTCAAACTGCACGTTATATCTCCATGAGACGGCATCTTATCCGACTTAATTTGACTTCAATGTGCTATTGAGTCTTCACATAGGCATGAATGGTGTCACATGATCGATGGCTTTGTCCATTTTCATATCATTTGCATTTTGCCCCACTTCCTCGAGCATGTATACCAGGCACCCCCCTCTAGTGATGGAAGCTAAATTTGGCCCTATAGATAATTTGCTTTGGGAGCCCTTGTCTAAGCACTGCACATAAAGCCTCCAAAAGGGAAGCCATGGCCTCACAAAGCTCAATATATGCTTTTTTGGCAGCTCTGTTGTTTTTGTTAGTCCTGTCATGTCGTGAACTGGGTTTTGTGTTGTTGATGTGTCCTGTGGTATTTACTTCCTGTGGTATTGTTGTCCTTGAACTGTGGTGGTAAATGCTTTCAAGCATTTTTTATCTGTTGTTCACATTTTATTTTTTACTGTGTATTAACCGGTATTAAACCTGTGAGCATATAGGTCAAGGTCAGCTCAGTATTGAACGGAAAAAAACTGCTTACACACAGTCCTTTGTGCATCCATCCATGTTTGTACAAGTGATTCCCTGCTCAGTGGAAACTGTTTTGCAGAAGTAGGTTGAGGGAAAAATAACATGCCGAGTCCGTCCCAGCACTGACGTCGTCCTCTGTTTACTCCGACGGTGGTGGCATAGCGGGTCAGCGCGGTACCTGGGGACACAGATAGTGGGGGGTTTAAAGCAGGGCTCTGTACTACTGACTAGGTGGATGAAGTCTAAAACCCCTGGTTCCACGGAGCAACGGGGGGGGGGGGCACGGCCAACAGACTGGAGGCAATGGGGGTGGCGGGAGTGAGAGGCGTGCGAGCCAACACCAAATGTATCAAAACACTGTGCTCCACTAGGTCCCACAGGGATAATAACATAGTCCAGTTTGAAGTAAAGGGAACCCTATTTGTGAATGATGGGATACTGACTATCATCTGGTGCCAATTATGTCTGTCTTCTCTTGAAGTAGGCCACTGTACATTATGGTGGATACTTCTCAATTCACGTTTCAGAATATCACAGTCACTCATAGTGATGGGTCAGTTAAGGAGAGAGAGTTCAATACTAGTGTGGATGTGTGTGAGTTTGTGCATACGTGCGTATTTGTGGATGTGCGTCGGTTGGTGTTCTCGAGGTTGCCATGGCCACAGTATTAGCAGGATAGTACTATTGTGGAGCCAGGTCTGCTGACCTATGTGAGATAGTAAGCCTGTGTGTGTCCAGGGCCAACTTTTAATGTCCAGAGAGGTGCAAGGTGCTGGTGACAAGCCACGTGTCGAGAATTAACAACCCCTTTTCATTCATGCAGTATGTGTGCAGCTGTAAAATCATCAAGTTGTTTTTACCACTGTTCATGTGGTCATTCCTGCTCTCAGCATTAGTGATGCACATTGGCCCTCTAGTGACACGAATGTGGATGTGAATTGTAGACCGAATTGTGCAGTAGCTAAGTTGACTTCATAAAGGTAAAAGAGGAGACTTGAGTTCCAAAAGTAAAAGTTTTAATACGGGGGACAGATGGTCATGTGAAAATGCAAAGGCTAAAAAGGATGGTATAATAGCCCTAGTGGCCAACAGCAAATGGAAAACACTTGTATACTTTAAGACCATGTTAAGTTAATTATGAGTCACAGGAGGCTGCTGAAGGGGAACGGCTCATAATAATGGCCGGAACGGCGTTAATGGAATGGCATAAAACACCTGGAAACCATGTGTTTGATGTATTTGATACCGTTCCACCTATTCCGCTCCAGTCATTACCATGAGCCCGTTCTCCCCAGTTAAGGTGCCACCAACCTCCTGTGGTGTCAGTAATTAAGCTGGTTACTCATGATATGATTGTAAGCATAGATATGCTCCTCATAGGAAATTGGTCGTCGTCGATCTTGGTCGTCTGGGTTGGTCCCCACAATCCCCCCTATGATCGATTATGCTCCAACCTCAACGATTGTCACTCCCATGTCCTCAGCAGCCTACATCTAATTTATTTCAGGTGGATACAGGCGAAATCTTACAAACAACTTAGCAAAAAATGAAGCGTTTTTCAGAAGAGCATAAAAAATTATTTAAAAAACGTTTAGTGTACAGTTTGTTTTGTCTGACCGTGTTTTGGTTTGTGTTCTTTGAAGTCAGTTTGTTATGTAGGACTTTTTTATCTTGACTTTGTTCTGTGTAGCTTTGTGTTGTCAGGTGTCTGTCCTTGCCAATGATTTGGGTTTCCTTCTCTTTAGCCTGTGAGGCGACAGTCACTAACTGCCCCTTCACCCAACACTATCTCCTGGGAGGAATACATCAACGCAGAGAACGGAAAGTATGCATGACCATTACTTTTTTACTTCTCACCACACTTCACAAGTTTTCTTTCACACGCACTCTTACTCATTGTTAGTCTCACATGTCTACATACAGGGTTAAATGAAGGACAGACCGATGGATCACTTATGCACAGTTACGACAGGGAGAGTGGGTGGATAGTTCTATTTAAAGCCAATCCTCTTACTTCATCAGTTAAAGCTGTGGAGAGCTGTTCCACTTTCTGTTGGAGAAACCTGACCCTTGAACTGTCAAGTTCAGCTGTCTTGTTCCATTGGCTTGATGGGATTTCATTAGTTTCCACTAGCTTCCACAGCCACAAAGTCAAAATTGGCAAAAAAAATTTAATTGTTGGTCTTAATTTAAGGTTAGGGTTAGGCATAAGGTTAGCAGTGTGGTTAAGATTAGGGTTAGATTTCAAATAATATTTTAAGAAGATAAACTCCGCCCATTTCTACAATTTATGACTGTGCGTATAGAAGCTAGTGTTGACCGTTTCAGTAGCAACAGGCTTCTGTTTCCCCCTTCAATCACCTAGCAGTCAGGTTCCTCACATAAAATGGGTATTCTATTGTAAGACAAATTATAAAATTGTTGCCCAAATGACCCAAATGCCATGCCATTATACCCATACCATTTTTAACACACATTTTCAAAATTGTGTGGACAAAAACGTTTTTCTAGATGTCACTGAAGTGCAGAGCTTCTATACACTCCCATCAGTCATTTCACTTTCAGGAACACAGTAAGACTTTCTTCCTTTTCTTTCAAAAGTGTTTACCTCATTTTCTGACAGACATTCTCCCTCTTTTTCTCCTTCAGAGCGCCTCATCTAGGAAGAGAGCTGGTATGCAAAGAGAGCAAGAAGAACTTCAAAGCGACCGTAGCCATGAGTCAAGACTTCCCGCTGGGCATTGAATCGTAAGTCTCCTCTTCGATCACCCCCAGACGACCTTGAAGTCTAGCCAGACAGCAGTAGTTGCCAAACGGGATAACTTACTAATTATAATAACATTTCATAAAAATAATTAATGAAGTATTGATATCTGAGATTAAGCTCACATGAAGTTAACCTAGTTTTAGCTTATTCTGGGCTAAATAGGTTGATTGACACAAAGTGCATGATAGCCTCCTTTTTATGTGGTGTGCAGAGGCCTCGTTTTCTTATTATTACCCCCATCACTAATTTAATGTACCAGTGACTGTAGCCTGCAGTACTCTCTGGCATGAAGTGATGCATGACATGCATTCTTCATTGAGTGAGAATGAAAGACTGATATTTCTTCTTTATTTTCAGGTTATTAAACGTTCTGGAGGTGATAGCACCCTTCAAGCACTTTAATAAACTCAGAGAGTTTGTTCAAATGAAACTCCCTCCTGGTTTCCCTGTCAAGCTGGGTAAGTACTATTGTATACTGCTTAGTCAGAGGGAAATGTATTGTACAGTAAAAGAGATCCAGTTGGACGTATACTGACTGTCTGACCAGATTTATTTCCTGATGATGATGTTATAACATGTTTCTCTTTTTCGTTTCCCCACACAGATATCCCTGTCTTTCCAACCATCACGGCCACGGTGACTTTTCAAGAGTTCCGCTACGACGAGTTTGAGCAGTCCATCTTCACCATTCCCAATGAGTACAAAGAGGACCCCAGCCGCTTCCCTGACCTTTAACCCCTTCGGCTGACACCGGAAAGTGGTCACCTATGAAAGGACATTGATATTTCATCAAATTGTCATAGGAGAAGAAAAGGAAATTGTAGGTGAGGTTTTAAATGTAAGTGAAATATGTTGTGTATGTAATGTTTATAAAGGGATTATGATTAACTGACCTGTAGTAAAGCACTGAATTCACTGTGTGGGACGTATGTGGAGAAGAATAAATACTGTTCCACTGTAAACAACAAGTAGCTACTATCCAGAGCTTTGTTTGGAGTAGCTTCACTGAACTTTGGGCACTGTTTAGATGCACTACAGCCAGTCCGTACTGGGCTGAGTTGGCCTGGGCAGCAGAGGGGCGGACCTACTGCACCAGTCGATACTCAACCCTTTGGTACTGCATCTGAAACACATCCACCTGGAAGCAATGATAGAAATGCTAGGAATTTTAGTTGTACTAGATCAGAGTTGTCTTATCCTATTTGACTGGCAGGAAGCGTGGCATTAAGTTATTACAAGCCTTGTTTTCATATTCTACCTTTGTAAACTATGTAACAAACTGTACAATTCAGTTGATGGAAATGAACCAGGTGGTGTACATTTTTTCAGAGTACAAGTTATCTGTAGATGTTTAGGTACGAAGTGAAGTACAATGTAAATTAACTTTTTACAGGTAAGAAAAACCAGGCCTTTCCCTGCGCAAGGTGTAAATACCTATTTTAATTTTTTCTTCTTCTTTGTGTTAATATGGGAGTAGAGGTCTATGACAGGAAGAGTTTCAGAAGTTTTATGCAAAGGTTAGTTGATGTGAGTTCACCCAAGAGGTCATTGGTTTGTATCGTGGTGGCAATGGATATTTTTGTACATAGAATATTGTGCTGGTGAAAGTCTCCAAATCCTTAAGTCAAGTCTTTGTTGACATGTTCCCTGCAGACCTATGTGTGAGCCAAGTGTACAAAGCACTGAGATCTTACATCCTTGAGTTTTACTGTGTCCAAGGACTGGACTATTCGGCAGTTGCAGTCTTCAGATTATACAGACTCAGTTAGGATTTCAGTCGTGTTAATTTGTTTCAAGAACAGTTTCAGTCGAGTCCTGTTTGCTTCTGAACATTGCAGAATGTTGCTCTTTAGTTTTGAGGAAAAGGTCAAATCCAACAATAAGCTCAACTATGCCTTGCTTCAGGAATGAAATAGGACTTCTCTGAAGTGGTGCTCATGTGGTTCTGCGTCTAACAGGGTTCGCTGAGCTGGAGGGTGATCAATACAGCAGCAATAGACATGGCAGAATGCTTTGTACTCTGACTCATTTTTCTACCTACATTGATCGGTGGCCTATTGACGTAGCCAGTGTTTATTATAAACCTTTCCATCAAGCTTCCATGTACTACTGGTTAGTGCTGCAAATGGAAGTGTGCTTTTGTCACTTTTTGTTGTGTGCTGAATGTTTTTACTTCTCCTGACCATGGCTTTAGCTGCCAGGCCCTAATGTATACACTTATGCATTTTTCATGTCCGTTGTACAGCAATAGACCTTGTAAAAGCCTGCCACACTATTTTCATATTAAAAAATAAAAGCCCCAAATTAAAAAAGTCCACATATCTAAATGAACTTGTGTACCATTTGTTTATCATGCATTTCAAAACTGGCTATTGAACATATCCCACCATAGCCATTTAGACCTAGTTTTATTAGATCCTTGTAAAACATGTTGCAGACAGTACAGGGTATTCATAATAATCCAAACACTCATTTTGATCTACCGTATATTGTCACAGGGGTGAGAGGGTATGACTAGTCACAACAGTATTAAGTACTTATCAAGTCAATTTATCAGGATTCCAACAGAAAGAATAGAAAGCTGCACTGCACCAAAAACAGAATGGTACCAGGCTAAATATGATTAACAGTGAGTAAGCGGGGGACCAAACCCTTTCCTGTAAAATGTTTAAATTTACACCAATTCAGTGAGTCATTTAGGAGAAAACAGTTCCTCTACGTTCAAGATGAGTAAAATCTTTGAGGACAAAAATAGAAACCGCTTTCAAAATCCCTCACATTCAACAGGCCCTTCAACTTAAAAAAGTACAGCAATGTGACATTTTTAAAACGATGTCATCTTTTACAAAAGGTACTCATTTGGGCCAAACTTCCTACACATGCTCACTGGTCATGTCCATGACAGAAATAAACTGGCTATTCCAAACAGAACAAGATTTTCCCTAACCGGTCTTGAGAACTGGTCTCTAACATGTGACTACAAACCAGCAGACACCCGCACGTATTAATTTAAGGTTTTGAGTGATCTATGAGGTCATCTGGCTGGGTCTCTCTGAGCGCACTCAGTCGCTCATCTCCATGTCGTCCTCATCATGGCAGTCATCTCCGTTCTGTTTGGACCTGTTGCCGCTCTCTTCTGCAGGCTTCTCTTCAGACTCCTCCCGGGGTTTAGGGGATGACGCTGAATCAGAGTCGCTCTTCCTCTCCTCTACCTCTTTTCCGCTGTCATAGCCCTGCTCCTCCTCATCATAATCCCTGGTCACCTGCAAGAGCAAAGAGCTCTGAGCAATAAAGGAATAAATGGCAAATGAAACAGGTCAGTTAGGACATGACAACATTCAGCGTCGGTTTTCCCCCGGACACATCTTAAGCCTAGTCCAGGGAGAAAAAAAATAAAATAATTACGATAGACATTTAACTGATATGATTAGAATGAGACTCGTTAATGAGGGAAAGTCAGTGGTTGCACACCTTGACATCTCCTTTCTCGCTGTCAGATTTGCGGTCGCGGTCCTTCTCCTGGTCTTTGCTCTTCTTCTTACTGGTGGATCGTTCTCTTTCGTCTCGGCTCCGGTCTCTGACCTCTTTCCTCTCGCGATCCCTGTCCTTCTCTCGCTCTTTGTCCTTCTTTTTGTCCTTCTTGTGCCTGTGGGGGACAAGAACCATTGTTTAAATACAGACAGGTACACCTACAGATTACTGCACTGTGGAGTCCAGTGTGGCACTGAACCAGGAGGACCATCTTATGTACCACACTCACCTCCTAGGGGAAGGGGACCTGGACAGTTTCCTCTTTGGGGACCTGGACTTCTTTGGTGACCGAGAGGTGCTGCGACTTTTTCTACGTCTCCTGTTGAAGACCAGATATTAGAGATGCGAGGGAAACCAATGAATTACAATGAGAAAAAAGCAGCTTTTCTATGTTAGAATGGTGTGGGCGTAAACAGGTCATTACAAATATTCATGTGAGTAGACCACTGATTGGCCAGCTCATCCTCAGGAGGGTGACATAATCCTCTGAGGAAATAGCAACCCTTTTCTTTAAACGGTCTGTTTGAAATACATGTCTGAAGTGGGGTTTTGTAGTGCTTTTTTCTCTCCAATTCATGCTTTTGCCACAAATACGAGTATAGGATGAGTCAACATAATTTGGGTTAACAGAATGAACTTTTAAAAGTGAGATATTCACTGGACAGTTACTTTAATCCTACATTCCACTGGTTGTCTTTGGATTCCTGAAATGTCTAGAATATGAAGCGGGTTCAATGCATTTAGGTCAATCTATCCTGACTCCTCCTGTATTTAAACCACTCACCGACTGATGCTTCGAGACCTCCTGGTACTGCTGTAGCTCTTAGGCGGCGTCTTGGAGCGCTTTTTAGATTTCTCCTCTTTCCTCTTATCCCTACAAGCGGGAAAAACAAAAGGCAAACAATGATTTGAAGGAATCCTGATACAGGTACATAAGGCACCACATTTTCCTGATCCCAGCTGTGAATAAAACACTAGATGGACACACCTGGATTTGCTGCGTCTGCCCCTCTCTCTGGAGTGGGACTTCCTTCTGCGGGGGCTCTTCGACCGCCTCCAGCTCCTCGAGTGGGACCTCCGCCGAGACCTGCTCTTCGATCGCCTGCAATCAGATTAGACCGTTAGCTGTCCCAACTAATCCATGCACTTAAACAACTCAAGTTTGCCAATATCAACTCATGAATATGCAGGTAAAGTGGGGCTAACATTCAGCACATGCCCAAAATTGCTTATTTAGTTAAGATATGCAGTTTCTCATCAGCGGCCCACCTATGACGAGAGCGAGACCTGGACCTCCTCCGCCGAGACCGAGAGCTGGAGCGGGAATGTTTGCGCTTGTCGTCTTTCTTATCTGCAATGACATTTACCAGTTAAACAAAGGAAGAATTAATGTTCAGGAAACTCCAATGTAACACAAATCTGTGAGAACAAACGGTAACATTACAACGACAAATCCTGAAGATGCGAGGAAGAGCACAATAGAAGACAGGAATGAGTCAGTCAAAACACAAGGGTAATACTGCAAATATAAGTGGCCTAAATTAGTGAGAACCCACTTCCAGGCTCGATAGCTGCAGAGATGAGGGACTGGGCCTCTCTGACCCTCTTCATGGCAGCCTCCATCTCCTTGTTGGAGTCATTCTTCATACCATGATTAACCATCATACCAGCAGCCATTGGATTCATTCTGCAATGGTCAAAATAATAATAAATGAAATTTAGCAGACGCTTTTATCCAAAGCACACGTTTTACATATGGCTGGCCCTGGATATCAAACCCACAACCCTGGCGGTGCAAGCGCCATACTCTACCAACGTAGCCATACAGGACCACATAAAACCCAGTTAGTCACAAATAAATAATACGGATGACTTTACCGCATATTCAATAATAACTGTTAGAATAATATTATTTAGACTGGTTAGAATTGGGAGTGATACTTACTTAGTAGGATCCATGGATTGCATAAGCTTCAGAAAGTCAGCAGAGAGGGCCTAAAATAGAGAACACAAATGCAAAGCTATATAAATATATAATGTGATAATTCGACCAATAGGTCATTAAATCGGAAAAGGTCTTATGCTGTTAATGTTATAACCTACAGCCGTTTTAAAAGTACAGAGAGTAGTGGTATAGAAAGTAGCCATGTCCAACCTGGGGGTTCATGTTGCCAGACATGCCCATGGCAACCATGGGATCCATGTTGGGATTTCCGAGAGCTGAAAGAGGAACGCCTCCCATCTGCCAGAACAAGGGATACAAACCAGACAAATCTTCCATCCAGCTACTTTTTTTGTTGTGAAAAAAAATGGGGCCTTACATGGTTACAGTTAATAGGTCTCAATACAACACCAATAGATACACACTCCTTGCAGAACACTTACCGACGCCAAATGATTTGGAGTGGGGAGAAGGCCCCCTCCAGGCATGCATCCCGCCACAGCATTCGCTGGTGCCAGCAGTGACAGAGCTTTAGACTCATCAGGAATCACTCCTGGAGAAAAACACAGAATCAGCACAGATCTCCACAAACAGCCACCACACTCAAACAGAGCCACAGACAAACCACCTCAGGCTAACTACTCTTACCACAATATGTAGCAAGACATACATTCCATTTTGTGTTGTCTGAAAATGTTGGTCGCTGACTTGTTAAGTATGATTTCAGAATACTACTACGAGAACAAAGTCACAATACACACTGTGGTCAACACTGCCAAGATTGTATCACCTGTACTTGTTTTTTAAGTCATGAACCAAACGTAAGCAAGCACAGCCGGTTGTCCAGTGGGATGTGCTCTCAAGTTTCATTAGATGTTTTATGAACAAGCGATACGCGTCGGCTGCTTCGCTACAAAGCACACAAAAACATCAAGATACACAAAACAAAGTTCATGATTTTGGCGTCAACAGCAGGGAACAGTTCATTACTTTTGCCTCAAACACTTACCATTACCAGTACATTAAGAAATAAAAAAAGCTCCACCAAATTCTGTTTTCTGGGCTTTTGCTGGTGGCTTCTTTCTTCCAAAGAGCCTACAACATGTTTGACTGGCTACTGTATTTCACCAGGTACAGTGTTGTAAAGTTTAACTTAAATTGCAACTAACAGAAATGCTGACAAGGAAAAAAATAAGTACAGAGTAGGCTCTTATAAATAAGGGAAAATGCCAGCAAAAGGTTGAATACAATGGTGCCCAATGCTGAAGGAAAATCTTATACAATAGTTAAATAAAAAGGAAAATCTTATGAGATGATCCATGGGTGTGCAATCTGAAATTAAGCTAATTTTAAATCAAACAACTTTTCATATTTACAGAGAAATGACAGAAAGGACACTTGAGAAACAGGATAAGCTGCAGAAGACAAAACTGTTGGGTGGCATTTTCAGCAGGGCCTGGTATATAGGGCTGGCTGAACCAGGAAAAAGAACTGTAAAACACAACAACAAAAAGAAAAACCACCGTTAAACGTTTGACTTACTGAACCCTTTCAGAGTCAAGTGGAGAGGATCATTATAAAGCATTTCACTGCAACAACAACCAGTCTTATTTTACCTGCAGTATATGTGGGAAAGGAGATGCACATATATAAAAGGACTGTGAAACACAGCTATTCAAATTGGATGGGTTAAGGCCAAAAAAACAGATAAGCATGTGAATCATCATAATCATGACCAAAATGGTGTTCAGAATCTTCCAGGACTGTAGCTGGAAGTAACTAAACGGATGTAGGCCTAGTACTATACAAATCTACTCTAGCATGCATAGCTGCAATCAGTTAATTTACCTTTGCATGCTTCCTTTAGTTGATTAGATGCAAACCCACTACTGATTGTGACCTTCAAACTTTGATTACTTTAATCTCTTATGTATCCAGATTAGAGATTGTTGATATGTGGGATAGCTATTGCTATGGTTCATTGAGTGGTTACCCTTATAATGAAAAGAATGCCTTGGACATAGAGAAAGAGAGAGTTAATCTTTACAGCAGAACAACAGTGGGAAGGGGCTCGTGAGTCAAGCTGCCATTTATTTGTCTAAAATCCTGATGGTTGTAGAGGACCCTTTTCAGTCAGCAAGGAAGGGGTTCTGCAAATGCCTTGTCCACTATGAAAACCACAACACAAATGACAGAGAGAAGTTTAAAAAAAAAAAGATATGCTAGACTAGAACAGCAAGATTACACATGTATTCCCTTTTACCCCTAGTATATTTCCAATCTCTGGTAAGACTTGTGTATTTAATCTTACTTTAAATACAAATTTGATCAACAATCCAAATAGTGTGTATGGTTTTGGATGTAGCATCAGGTTTGGTTAAGCTTTGTTAGTTCATATAGTATGTTGGAAAACGTTAGATTTAGGCCAAAGATCACCAACCTTCTGCGAATGGGACAACAATCAGGGCTCTGTCCACGAAGACGGTGTTGGTCAGATGTTGGGACACTCCAACCGACTCTGACTCAAGGAACTTTACAAAACAGACACGTGAAGTCACAGGCAAGGGAGATTCACTGGAAGAAAATACAAATTTGTTGTGCAAGAAATACAAACAGATTCTCGACATAGGGTAATAGAAACATGGTCCTAACAATGAATAGTATAGTTTTTTCCTGAAAACATAAATGCTCAATAATCACTTTTCTAATTAAGCTACAATTGGGAAGAGAGATTAATTAACACGATCGCTTCAGAGGGATGATCAAGATGTCTCCTAATTCCTACCTTAACTGCAGTGCAGCCAGGTGTAATTCGACAGGTGAAAAACAGCAAAGCACAGAACACATCAATTAGGCTAACTCCTACTAACTTACCCTGCACGGTTATTCAATGGAGCCATTTATTTTCATAGCATAGCGAGGGTAATTCAAAGATACAAAACAGCTTCTGCGTCGTTTGGTCAACTCAGGAGATCCTATTAAATTACTAATAAATAATATTATAATAATTAAGAACATTAATATTATAACAATTTATAATAAATTATTCTAATTCTATGGGTCAACTACAATTGACTGCACTGTAGGCCTGCTTTGCTATTCGGTAGTTAGCATTATTGAGCTAGTTTACTAGCTAGCCGTTTCTCTTAGTTGGCTAATGTTCTATATAGGCAGTGTGGGCAAGAGTTCGTAGATATCCGTCTCCATTAAACTTGATACAGCTGCATTTACTAGAAAATTACCTAGGTAACCCTCATCCATCGTTAACTAAATTGCGAGCGAACAGCCAAGTAGAATCTGTATCAGTGGCGCGAGTGTGCTATGCTAGTTAAGGTTAGGTTCACTATAGCCGCACAGGCCCCAAACAGGACTATGGCCAATTTTGTTATGGAAAATGTAGTTAGCTATGTTGCTAACTAGCTAACTAAATTGTTTCATATTCAGAATACTCACTCAGGTGGAAATAACTTGAGCTCTTCAATATTTCCAAGAAATCCGAAGAGAGTTCTCATCTGTTCGGAGGTGGTGCTCGGAGAGACATTTGTCACTTGAATAACGTTCGTCATTTTCCACGACTAGTTTGTCAATTTGAAACGCACAAAGGTCAAGCTAGATGTAACAACCCAGCTAAATTAGCATCTAAAGAACTTAAAATAGAATTGTACTGTCAAGCAAACATAAAAAAAAATGTCATAATTTTCACTAGCTAGTTGCTACACACAATTGAATTCCCACCGCCATTTGCTAGAATATATTGTCACATAGTTAGGTCTTCTTGATTCAGTCATATGGCCTACCCGCCCTCCGTATGATAGGCGTGGCAGTGATAACGTACTGGTGGTATGGCAAATTCTGTTTTTCCAAAGAAATTGTTCCCTAATTAACCATTAACTCTTATTGTATACTGTTTCACTTATAGTAGCTACTTACTTAGATATCACCTTGTGTGTTTTGTCAGGTTTCGTAAAACAGTCAGCGGAAGAAGCAAGTGAATGATGCGTTCAAAACAACTGGGAACTCTGAAAAATATGTGGTAAAATCATGAAGTCAGTGATCTTCAGGTCGGAATATCGGAGCTCTAGAAAGAGGCCCGAGTTCCCGACTTGGAATTCCGAGTTGGATGACCTTTCAAAACGATTTATCCCATTCGGAGCTCGTTTTTATCCGAGTTCCCAGTTGTTTTGAATGCACTAAAGTCGGAAGTCTGAGATTTATGAGTTCCCAGTTGTGTGAACGCGGCATCAATCTAGGGGATCGATTTAGACGTCATCACCGGAAGTGGCGTTAAGATTAGTGTGGCAAGCTAGCTACAAAACATATGATCTAATGTCTGAATACCAATTCTATGGAAATGTTTATTTTTATTTGAAGTTGACAAGCTATATAGTAACCAGTGGAATAATTTGCAGTCCTCACCGCGTTCGTGACATGTACTTTGTCTGTACAAACCTGTTGCTTCCAAATGTGAATCTTTAGTAGAGCTAGTATTAGCTAGCTTGCTAATACTGTACCACAGATAGAACAATGAGGTTTAGTTATAAAAATATTTGACTGTACTGTCCTTTCTACCAGTCTACCTGCTCCAACTCAACTGTCACAACTTTCTCTGTATCGAGAGTTCTCCAACACCAACATGGTGAGTGAATAAATGTGTACTGTTTTCTTGAAAATCTTTTTTGTTGTTGCTTTTTCTTAGTGTTCTTTACTCGGTTGCATGCATGGTCATTGCTCGCCCTTGATCATGACTCTCAGTTCCATTCCATTACACATAAGTCATTGGAGGAAAGCGTCTTCTGTACGGGGGAGTTTTGTTAAGAGTCCCAAAGCTCGGTCTGAACATCAATACACATCGCTTGCGGTACGATTTTGGAAGCATAAGGATCTTATCTTTCATAGTAGCAAATACTGTCGGCTGCAACTGTGGTAAAGCCGGTTAAAACAGTGAGTGTGTATTTTGCATTTGTGAAATTATGTTGATGTGATATGAAAGTAAAGTGATTTATGTTTCTAGAACCGTATCGCAATTGAGAATTGATTCACGTTTAGATGGAGTATTTGGCTGTTTTGTCTGCCAGAACCAGTCTGCCTCTGAAAATAACATGTAAGGTCCTTGGACCTTCAGGAGTAATGGTAACGTTAGGCTCCTTAAGAGTACATCTTGGGCTAGGTCATTGCATGCTGGAGAACATGGTGGCCAAATTTGCAGGGATTTCAAAACAATGCATGCATGTGAAAACATTGATTGCACGAAAAGCTCCCATCTTTTCACACAATTTCTGCTGTTGTTGCAATATGAAATTATTGAATGTGATTCAGCTACTTTGTATTCTGGATGTATTTATTTTGCAGTAGCTACACATCAGATTTCTTTCATGTGACAATAATGGACACTTTGTACATTTCAACTAAGGTAAACCATTCTGAAGGGGTAGACTGACCTTAGTAATTCATTCCTTTTATAGGAAAATGACTTCTCAACCTTGTCAGGGTGTGGACAAGACTAGTAAACAAATGGCTCCTTTCTGATACCAACACTGCACAAGAAGGATCCAGCATGTTAAACTCAGGGTTCATCCCCATATTCTACGAGCTGTGACAATAACAGGGCTTCTGCACTCATCTGTGGGAGTTACAGCATGGGTATCCTGAGGGTTCTAGTCAACACTATGGGTAGAGTCAGCACCTTCAGGTCCTATCAGTTTGTCCTCCTCCTCACAGCAGCGCTGGCCGTTGTAGCCTTCTACTTCTTTGGCTCGGAGAGGCATGATTTCTCCAGCACCACCAAGCGCATCAAGCAGACCCAGGCCAGCCACAACGCCAACCGGAACGATGCAGACCTTTCCCTGGACACCAGGCTGATGCACCCTGAGGGAGGAGAGGTGGCGAGGGATGGGGAGGAGGAGGGCGAAGTCAGGGCTAGGAGGGCGGACAGTGGAAATGAGGTCAGCCAGTACTACCATGCCCTCATGATGTTCACCAAGGTGGACAAGAGCCGAAGCCTGCAGGAGAAGTTCCGGGTGGCCATGTTATCCATGGCGAAATACGGCCTCTTCCTGGACGAAGAGGTGCTGGTCCTTCATTTTGTAAGCGATGAGGCCAGCCGAGAGCTGGGCGAGAGGATGCTCCCAGAGCTGCTCCTCGTCGGAACGTTTCAGTATGAGGTAAGTCTGTTTGGTGCCCTGATGCATCTCCTACAAGGATGACCACTCACCGGTCAGTGTGTGTGCTTGTGTTACATGGAATGTTAGTCCTATACTGTGGAGTCTAGAGTTTAAACCTTTAAAAATAGGCTTAATCCCTCACCTGGCAAACAACACAGGCCTTGTTTGGAGGAGCGTACTTGCGGGTGAGTGCACAAATGCACTGTGAATAGTTTTGATCTTTGACACAGGGGGGCAGTGTTGCCCTTCCAAAACATCTTACAGTTTAGAAATCCCCCTCTTCTGCTTTTTTTTCAGCCAATGGGATAATTAAGCTGTACCTAATGTATGTATCTATCTATCTATATGTATGTGTGTGAGATATATACAGTGGGGGAAAAAAGTATTTAGTCAGCCACCAATTGTGCATGTTCTCCCACTTAAAAAGATGAGAGAGGCCTGTAATTTTCATCATAGGTACACGTCAACTATGACAGACAAATTGAGAATTTTTTTTCTCCAGAAAATCACATTGTAGGATTTTTTATGAATTTATTAGCAAATTATGGTGGAAAATAAGTATTTGGTCACCTACAAACAAGCAAGATTTCTGGCTCTCACAGACCTGTAACTTCTTCTTTAAGAGGCTCCTCTGTCCTCCACTCGTTACCTGTATTAATGGCACTTGTTTGAACTTGTTATCAGTATAAAAGACACCTGTCCACAACCTCAAACAGTCACACTCCAAACTCCACTATGGCCAAGACCAAAGAGCTGTCAAAGGACACCAGAAACAAAATTGTAGACCTGCACCAGGCTGGGAAGACTGAATCTGCAATAGGTAAGCAGCTTGGTTTGAAGAAATCAACTGTGGGAGCAATTATTAGGAAATGGAAGACATACAAGACCACTGATAATCTCCCTCGATCTGGGGCTCCACGCAAGATCTCACCCCGTGAACCACACGGGGGGACCTAGTGAATGACCTGCAGAGAGCTGGGACCAAAGTAACAAAGCCTACCATCAGTAACACACTACGCCGCCAGGGACTCAAATCCTGCAGTGCCAGACGTGTCCCCCTGCTTAAGCCAGTACATGTCCAGGCCCGTCTGAAGTTTGCTAGAGTGCATTTGGATGATCCAGAAGAGGATTGGGAGAATGTCATATGGTCAGATGAAACCAAAATAGAACATTTTGGTAAAAACTCAACTCGTCGTGTTTGGAGGACAAAGAATGCTGAGTTGCATCTAAAGAACACCATACCTACTGTGAAGCATGGGGGTGGAAACATCATGCTTTGGGGCTGTTTTTCTGCAAAGGGACCAGGACGACTGATCCGTGTAAAGGAAAGAATAAATGGGGCCATGTATCGTGAGATTTTGAGTGAAAACCTCCTTCCATCAGCAAGGGCATTGAAGATGAAACGTGGCTGGGTCTTTCAGCATGACAATGATCCCAAACACACCGCCCGGGAAACGAAGGAGTGGCTTCGTAAGAAGCATTTCAAGGTCCTGGAGTGGCCTAGCCAGTCTCCAGATCTCAACCCCATAGAACATCTTTGGAGGGAGTTGAAAGTCTGTGTTGCCCAGCGACAGCCCCGAAACATCACTGCTCTAGAGGAGATCTGCATGGAGGAATGGGCCAAAATACCAGCAACAGTGTGTGAAAACCTTGTGAAGACTTACAGAAAACGTTTGACCTGTGTCATTGCCAACAAAGGGTATATAACAAAGTATTGAGAAACTTTTGTTACTGACCAAATACTTATTTTCCACCATAATTTGCAAATAAATTCATACTCAAATTCAACTCATTTTGTCTGTCATAGTTGACGTGTACCTATGATGAAAATTACAGGCCTCTCTCATCTTTTTAAGTGGGAGAACTTGCACAATTGGTGGCTGACTAAATACTTCCCCCCCCCCCCCCCCCCCCACTGTATATATATAGTACCAGTCAAAAGTTTGGACACCTATTTATTCCAGGGTTTTTCTTTATTTGGACTATTTTCTACATTGTAGAATAATAGTGAAGACATCAAAACTATGAAATAACACATGGAATCATGTAGTAACCAAAAAACAGTTAAACAAATCAAAATATAATTCTTCAAAAAGCCACCCTTTTCCTTGATGACAGCTTTGCAAGCATTCCTCAACCACCTTCATGAGGAATGCTTTTCCAACAGTCTTGAAGGAGTTCCCACATATGCTGAGCACTTGTTGGCTGGTTTTCCTTCACTCTGCCGTCCAACTCATCCCAAACCATCTCAATTGGGTTGAGGTCGGGTGATCTGATGCAGCACTCCATCACTCTCCTTCTTGGTCAAATAGCCTATACACAGCCTGGAGGTGTGTTGGGTCATTGTCCTGTTGAAAAACAAATGCTGTTGACACTGTCTGTGATTTATTTTGAATTCAAGGCACACTTAACCAGCATGGCTACCACTGCATTCTGCACCGATACGTCATCCCATCTGGTTTGGGCTTAGTGGGACTATAATTTGTTTTTCAACAGGACAATGACCTAACACACTTCCAGGCTGTGTAAGGGCTATTTTACCAAGAAGGATAGGGATTGAGTGCTGCATCACATGACCTGGCCT